TACCCAATAAAAACTAAATATCCATTTAAGCTAGTTTCTAAGATTAACGAATCCAAACAGTAGAGTTAGTATTTTTAAAACTATCTAATAAACAGTATTGTAATATACAAGCAATGCCCCGCGGTTTCACTCGCGTTGATACCGATCTCGTCGTAGTGGAAAGTCTACTAAGTTGGACTATAGATATATTTTTGTTAAGATAAAAGTTAAATTTTACTTAGTTATCTTAGTTTTTAATATATTCCTTTCAGTTTATTAGATACTCACTTACATTCATAATAAAATCAATATACAGATTTTACAACGAATATATATTCTTAGAAATCACAAACGATAAATAATAAAAGTAACAAAACACTCAACCTAGGAAGTTTTATTCCTTACCAAACAATTTTTAATTAACTAAAATACCACAATGAAAATTATATTCAACCAGAAAATAATATTTTACACAACTCAATAAAAAATAAAACACTAAAGCGTCCGTCACGTCCGAGAGCCAATCGCAGAATACCCCCGGTGTTCCCAGTTCTACTCCTCTCTGTTACCCCTCACTCGGTCCGACTTGCTCTGTGGAGATTGTTTTCTAAGAATATCTAATATATTTTTTAGACGTAACATCATTTACTAGAGAAAAAAATTCTTGATTTCAAGTAGGTAATGAAATAATTTTTTCAATCACTCCAGGAACTTGTATCTTAGAACTACCATATATTCAACATTTGACGTAGTTTTGTTTTGTGGCAGCAAAACAATTTCATGTTTTGAAGTTCCGACTAGGGATAGGCCAACATACAGTTGCCAGTGGTAAAACATTATTTTTGTAGATGTTGGTACTTACACTATACAAAATTTTTTGTTCTATCATCAATAGTTTCCACAGCGCACGCGATGACAGATTTTTATGGATAACTTTTTCACACCTTGGGTTATATTATTGCATTTTCATTAGGGATTCCTATTTTTTTTGAAAATATAAATAGGGTTCGTCAGTTAGTGAATGATGCAGCTTTCTAATGGTGAAAGAAATTGAAATCGGTCCAGTAGTTTTTGTGTGAAAATATTACATACAAAAACACAAATTTTTCCTCTTTATAATATTATACTCAAAATAATCGCAAACAAATTCATGGTTAAATAAATAAAATATCTAACTTTAATTAAACCAAATATATTCAATGTTTATTATTAATCTTAAAGTTAATTAGAACCACCCCCATTCATCTTTGCAAATTTCAAATAAGGGTTGTTAGCACGTCGTTAATTAATTGGCATCATTTGCCGTAAAGGGTTAAATGTTTTTAGCGTATTGGACACACTGACTAGGAAACTAATTAAAAACCAAACCGTAACGGTCCATCGTAAAACGTTACAATAGTTTGATAGCATTGTTCCCAATTTTCCAAACGGTGACCATGACGATACGTGCGATATTTAGTTCACGATTTTTAAGGTTGAACCTATGGCTCGATTATGCTAGTCTCAATCCTAAGGTTCTGCGTTCGAATCAAGTGACCAATTTTGTTATATATGCGTAAACTCGCTCGCGTGGTGGAACCGAAAGAACATCTGGAAGAAATATAAAATCGCGCGACAGACACAAAAGGATCACCTACTTGCATAAGAAAAAAAGGGATTTCTAAACAAACACAGAAATCACAGGCTAGGACTAAATGTTGAAGTGCGTCGTGCGTCAGCATACACAGAGTTTGGAAATATTCTGGCAGGTACAATTAGGTTTGTTATAGACGTATGTACTCACAGCCACTAGGCTAACACTGCTGTTGGTCTAGTGGCTTCAGTGTGCGATTCTCATCAGAGGTTGTAGGTTCGATCCCCGGCTGTAAACCAATGGACTTTCTTTCTATGTGCGCATTTAACACTCGCTCGTATGGTGATGGAAAACATCGCGACCAAACCGGCTTGCCTTAGAGTCGACGGCGTATGTCAAGGACAGGCTGATCACCTAGTTGCCTATTAGATTGATAAATAATCATGAAACAGATACAGAAATCTGAGGCCCAGATGAAAAGGTTGTATCGCCACTGATTTATTTTTATGTACTCACACATTCTGGTTTTCTTTACAAATAAACTCTTAAAGCATCTTAAAGCTCGATTATTATTTATTAGCAATACGTCCCGATACACTTCTTTTTGTAGTTAATGTGAATAACAAAATTTTTAGTAAAACTTAAACGTGTTTATTACACGCGCTGTCTTTATAAATACGCATATAAAGAGGAATAATAAACATTTTTAGTTGATACACACATGCACTCCGTAGCCGGTATTCAAATATGCAAGGAATTAAAATGGAAGGTTTTTAGTTGTATAGAGGGAATTTTTCCGTTGTTGGAATATGAAACGAATGCGACAAATTAAATTTACCTGAGTCTGTGACATAATGTTAACAGATAAATTTCTGTTTGACAAAATTGTCGGAAAAATTGATATATGTCTAGTTTTTTAAAATTAGTTTTCCAAAAAATGTTGTATCTCATACAAGCGACGTTATAATTTTGTATATTGATTTTGTAGATTCATATTGCTTATGTATTAATGGCCCGCGATATTTTCATCCTGCAGAAGAGGGCTATTCGTGCAATCTATAATTTAAAATGTAGGGAATCTCTTAGAGATAAATTCAAGGAAATTAATATACTTACCTTTCCCTCGCAATATATTTATGAAAATACTAGCCGTGTCGCGCCCGCTTTGCTGGACGAATTAAAATAAATTTTATGTTTCATTATTTTATTTTTTTTCATATTTTTATTATTCTTCGTTTTAACTTCCCGCTAAGAAAATTGAAATATTTCGAAAATCGAGTTTTTAACAGATGTTGACGTTTAGAGGTTCTAGGAAGCCTCCCCGAATGTTTCCGCGGTGAAGTCCGTATGGATAAATTTTCATAAAAGTAAAACAGCAATAAAAAATGAAGGAACGTTGGAATTTAATAAATAAATAGAATGGTGGTAGTTTCATGTCGATACGATCAGTGGTTTAGGCGTGAAGGAGCCTCAAACGAAGACCATTTTTCTTTTATATTTATGAAAATATTATGTATGAATACAAAAATAGTGATAAGTTTACTAGAATAGAACATACGCACCATGTTAATACTCGGAACAAACGCAGGCTGCAATTTCCCCGTAATAGACTATCTAAAGTTAGTAATTCTTTTTTGGGAAAAGGGATACTCTTCTTTAATAAAATCCCAGAGGCTCTTTTATCCATGCCGTTTAATTAATTTAAGAAATGTATTAAAGAAAAGCTGTGTAATAAAAATACTTACTATAAAGTTAACGATTGTCTAGTTGATAAAAGGGCCTGGGACTAGTGCTAGACAGGCTACTTCTAATTAATTTGCGATATTTGTTTTAAAATAAGTGTTGTTTAATGATTTGCTATTTTAAAGAGTACCGAGAGTTTTTTACGCCGGCTTTTTCTCTCGGCCTACACCCTCTGTCTTCTTTGCCGATGAGTAGGGATGCCTACAAATTCAAATTTAATGACGTGGAATAAGTGATACCTGTATCTTATGTTCCATAATAAACATATTTTATTTTATTTTACCTTGAATCCTCAGTGCCGGGAAACAAAAGCCGACATTTTAACTGTCATTTTGTTTCATGAACAAAATAAAAGGTCAGTGCAACGATCACGTGGCCTGAACTACTATAGCCGTATTTCTAATAATAATAATAATTTATTGCAAAATTATGGTACAAAAATGTGTAAGGTGGTACAATCGTGAGTTCGCATACTCTGCCACACACAATAGCGCGCAAATTTGTCTTTAAAGGAATTTTACATTGTACATTATTAGTCATATGAATTGGTCAGTTCTTATACTATTTGTATCGTACATATCATATCATACGTTATTAAGTTACAGTGTCTCACGCAAATAATCATTAATTATTGTATAATACATTTTTTCCAACACCAAGTCGATTTTTAAAGACTTTAGTCGTATGATCTTTCAATTCTTTAAATTATTGTAAATCTTAATTGCCATACAAAAGTCCATTATTAATTATTGTGTCCGGTATTAAGATAAAACACACTCGCTATTTTCTCATTAAAAATGTTTCTCTGAACCCCGAATGTGCTGTTTTGGGTTCATAAAAAAAAAACTAAAAAAAAAAAAAAAAAAACATGGCGATTAAAAAGAGTGGCGGAGAGTTTATTGCCAGTTCTTCTCTTCCGTTCTACGCCCTTGATTTGAGAACTGGCAGTAAATGTAAAATTAGAAGCATTAATATTTATTTCTTTAATGACGAATCACAAGTGTACATTGTGTTACCTACGTGAATAAATGATTTTTGAATTTTGAATTTTGAATTTTATACATGCCCATGTACCTGGTGCCTTGATTCAACGTAGGTTTATGAATTAAATGTTTTCTTAAATTGTTTTTCTTCTGTGTTTTTAATAACTTTGCTAATTTTAATTTCACAAACATAGTTATAAGCATTACTCTACTAACAATATATGGACTTTTAAGGGTCTGAATTAAATGTTTTTTTTTTACTGAAACGAGAAACTTTCACTGCTCCCTAAAAAGTACGGTACTGTCCTTTTATAAGAATGAAACAATTCTTATATTATTTTATCACTAAATTATTAAAATATATTACTACGTTATCAAGTTAATATTAATTATATTGTTTCACGCAAAGTAAACTTCACAAAAACAGTGTCGGAGAGTTTATTGCCAGTTCTTCTCTTCCGTTCTACGCCCTTGATTTGAGAGCTGGCAGTAAATGTAAAATTAGAAGCATTTAATGTATATTTCTTTATTGACGTTCATAAGTGTATATTGTGTTACCTAAATGAATAAATGATTTATGACTTCTGACTTTTTTAACAGTAGCAAAGCATACATTGTAACAAAATTGTTTCAGTCCCCGACGAAAATTAATTTAATAAATTTAAGTACAGTTTTTGTAAACAATTTACACCCTAATTTAAATGTACCTATAAACATTTCAGTGTAAAGACGGAGGCGACATCTAATGGTGCATTATCAAGACTGTATATAGCCAATGCGAATAGAAATGACTCTGGTAATTACACTTGCGCTTTAGCTGATGTCACCGCTTCTGCTGTAGCGGTTCATGTACTGAGAGGTAAGGTAGTATGGGAAAAGGTTCCTAATTTGGAATTTGTTAAAATGATATTTGTACCTATTAGCCACCAGAACACCAGGTAGGAAGGAATGTAGTTTTGTTTATAACGGATGAAACAAGAAATTAGAACGGGACCGTCAATAGAATTTAAATACCAAACCCCTTTTTCATACAGTTTTGAGCAATATAAAACATCATATATAAAAAAGGATTTCTTGAAATTCAATTCAAGTTTGGTAAAAGGTTAAAGATGCTGTATTTGCATATATGTACATAAGATGTACTAGACGCATTTCTTTTATAGTAGACGTGTTTGGTGTGTAAGAGATTGTTATTTAAAAATTTAATTTCTATCTTTGACTTGCTTAGATCTGCTGTGAAACGTTATATGTAATATTGATAGATTACGAAACTATGACAGTATTATAACACTTTTGAGTTAGTCATAATATTATGTATCAGTAAATACCAAATCAATTCATTGAATATAACTCGCTTAAAATCAAGTCAAAAACTGTTCTAAATTCTGTGCTAGATATCAAATGATCGACATCCATTGAGCAATGATCAAAGCATCGCTCTAGCTTTACCATTCTAAACCGATTTCCATATTCAAATCATTGCAGGCGAAAATCCTCTGGCGATGCAAAGAGGGAACTCCTCAGGAGTGCATCCATCAATGGTTCTCATCCTAGCGTTAATCAGCTGACACATATGGAGCGCGTAATGAACGCGCAAGTTTTATTGTAAATATTGGACCGTTGTGATATATGTATTTGTAATGTTTGAATTGTATCTTATATTTAATAAGGCGATAGTTTTAAATCATATATAACACTATGATCAGATATGTATTCATACCATTGTCATACTACGTCAAATATGAAAGAATTTTTGATTTAACGATTATTATTAAATTCGTATCGAGATTTTATCTTGCGTAAAGTTGATTACTATATATTTAAACATAAAAATTATATTATTTTTTGGGGGTAAATGCGTTACGCAAGCACGGCTGCCTCGTGGTGAAGGGTTATGTGGGACTCGATGCAGTGCATACACACTAAACCCCACGGCCATCAGCAATCACTCAAAGCAAGACACGGTAACAGTTTAGCCTTGTCCGCATCCCGCCAGGCTATCGGCCATTGAAATCACGGCCAAGCATGCTTTTTGCGCCATGCTGCTTGACTTGTATTAAAGCTAAAAACTCACCTGCGAATATTCCATGTTTTATTCAACATAGTTATGTCACTGACTGCTGTCTATGGCATTAACTATTATTATTATTTAATTTAATTAATTAATTAAACAGAGTGGATAAAATTTATTGAAGCTACTGCTTAAAAATAATTTAAATAATATAACTTAAAATAATAATTTCGGCGAAAGGACTTGTATTCAGTTCGTCTAATTTAAAAAAAAAACATGATTAGACTTTAACAGCGCAATTAATTTAACAGAACATAAAATATAACTTTGCGTATCTTTAACTAGTAAGAGATAAACAACAAAGACAAACTTCCTCTGTTTACACACTCTAAGTGGATAAATTTCAAGTTACCAACGCCAGCTGTAGTCTGTTTGCCGACCTGTTCATCGTCCACCATTTCAACTTTTAGTTTTGTGATTAAAATTCAGTTTGGTCTACAGAAACTAAAATGTGTTTTTCTAGATTACCAAAACAAGTATATATTTATTTATTTACACTTTGTGGCATTTATAATAAAGGAAAGGCAACTGGCGGCCTTATCGCTTTCGAGCGATCTCTTTCAGGCAACCACTGTGAGAAAAGAAAAAAAATGTATTTTACAGTTACAGTTAACCTTTTGATTGGCTTTTTTTTATTTTTATTTTTTCTTTAGATTTTATTTTATTTTATTTTAATTATAACCGTCTATGAAACGACTTTTGAGTATTGACTTTAAATACATCTCAATTGGTATAGGTTATTGCGATAGGAAATAATAACTATTTATAATAAATTCTTAAATTACATAGCATAATATTTTATTTACTCCAATATCACACCGAAGTATATACAATAAAAGTAAAAACAAAGCGATCAATAATTATAATTGAGTTTAAAATAATCCCGATGTTCAGAGCATTTTGCTATGATATAAAATTATGATGATTGGTCGTTTAAAAAAAATTGTCATGTATGTAAAATTATTGTTGAAAACTTGTAAATATAGATTTTGGTATTGTGTATAACCCTAGATATGTATTAGTTTTATTCTTTACACTGTAATAATCATTAAAGCTGTGTTTTGATTCGTGTGGTTTAATTATACACGAAAATACGTTATATTCAACTTATGTCCGCCGAGAGCTCCGGCACCGACGACGACACGACCCGGCAGCCTAGAAGAGAATAATCGTGCTGGGAACTTGCGCCTGCGCGTGATGCCAGTAGGCAGACGGGTTAGTACCCGTCATCAAAAAGTAGGCTGGTCCCCCAACGTAGGGCTGGTCGAGAAGTCGGTGGCTTTGATGTACTTATGTTTTATACGGCGAGATGAGTACCTTCACTTCTTTTTAAAGCCCCAAAACCGTACACATTTGACATTTAAAGATGACAAGAATTGTTTTCATCGATATTTTAATAATTCCGTAGAATTAAACAAAAATTTAATGAGACATTGGAAGACGTTAACATTTGAATGCCCGTGAATTATTATGATTCGATGCGAAAATTCTTGTAACTTACGTAGGTATTAGAAAGGACAAATGTTGGACCATGACACTTTTGAATTTTGGAAACGCAATATCGTCTCTACTTGTCAGCTGTGTGCAAAGATAGATTCCCTTATAAGTCCTATAAATATATATACCTTTAAAAGTCGAGAATCAGGCAACTTTATGTTGAATTGTACAATCCACATGAAATTTGTACATCAATTGCTAATATCCGCATAGGAAAGTTAGTTCCGATCCGAAGAAAAAATTTAAATGAAAGTACAGTAATTACTTAGTCTGATATTTCATTAGAAGTTATAACGTAAAGCCGACTTTGTGAAAAAAATCCACGGAATCAATTTGTCAGCAATGTAAAATGCGAATGAAGTTTGTCTTTTTAACATATTTAATGATTGTAAATGAATATTGTTTAAATAAAAATAAACGTTTTCATTAAGTTGTTTTATTGTTTGCCTCCTATGAACTCATTGACACGCACTTAGCGCCAAGCTTAGGAACTAAATAAAAATCCAGTATATTTTACAGTCAGAATTTTTATTTCATATACATGTCTCAGATCAGCCTTTTGTCTGACACAAGTCGGCAATTTTGGAATTTCAGACATCGGTTTCCTCATAATGTTTTCTGCACCGAACGAGCAAGTACATGAAACAGAAATTCCATTGGTGCACAGCCGGGCATTGAACCTACAACCTCAGAGTGAGAGAACATGCTTAAGCCACTAGGCCATCACTGTTTTTAAGCTTAGAAAGAAGGCAAAGGGCTTCCAGCGTAGAAAACCAGCACTGACACGCGCAAATGTTGTTCTGACTTTTGTGATTGGTGATTTCACTCAACGTGATGTCATTACTGGTTCCTCCAGTTACGGTAAGCACCCAAGTTGGTAAATACGGGTGTTCGTCCTCTGCTCGATTTAAAGTGGTTGTGCTGGTGGCTTGCACCGCATCTCCCTGTCTTTTGCGAGTTAAGTTTATGGCCCAATTTTGCTGCCCCCTAACGTAGATAATCCAATTTCGTCTGCATATCAGGACGCCTATGATTCAACAACCACAGGTCATCCAATCTTTAACGTGATTTTAGTGCATTGAGCATAACTTCATCTAGGACGACAAGGAACAAAAGCGGTGGAGAAAGCACTGTCTTACGCCAGAGCTCGTGAAAGAAAGATACAAGACCATTGTGGGTAACTTTTTAAGTTTAACTCTCGTAAATGGAAGATATCTAGAGAAATATAAGATATATTTAAGATTCATTAAATACGGAAACCTATCACTGACACCTCGGTGCAAAACTAAACGGGTCAGTGCAGAGTGATAATCGCTATTCGAGAATATAACATCATTAAATTTTCACTTATGATACCAATAACTTCTAAATTACCAATTAATGCCAGGTCCCAAATTAAGGGCTAAAAAGTAAGTGAGGATTTCACCAGTAACTCTCCACTACGTTCTTTAATCGCTTTTTATATCGCATATAAGGCGTATGTCATATATTAAATATATACATAATATAAGAAAAAAATATTCTTGTTTGTAAAGAATTAACCCTAAAAAAACTGGTTTTCAGGGTCATGAACTGTCTGCAAAAATATAGGTAGGTAGGTATAGGTATATCCACTGTATATTGAGGACACGCGCATGTCTTGTTTGCTAGTAAACCGCATATGAAAAACATAAAATCCAAGAGGGTAAATTTACTGTTAGGTTTATCGAGGTTGTGTCAATAAATCAGTTTTAAAATATAAATGATTAAGTAGGCATTCAATTCCGAATATTCTTCGTTTAATATTCTTTTTAGTTATACGAATTATTATAGTTGACTAAAAATCCAGAGAGCAGAAATATAAATATATAAGGCAATAAAACTCTGATGTTGACAACCCTATTTCAAGGATTTTACACACAGTTTAATTTAACGCTCAATTTAATGACAAAATGTTTTACCTCTTCTGTGCTGTTCTCTTAACAATTCATTCGGTTAATTAACGTATTTGTTTTATTCAGGGTTTATTTAAACAGACATTGACAAGTTTAAATCTTTTAGTACTAATGGTAAGCACAGTCAAGACTTAGTACTTATTGCATACAGTATTGACGTATGTATTGTAGTATTGCGTCACAGCGCTAAGTCTCCACTGAATACAGGTTAGTGCTAAGTATAACTTACGGATGTCAGTTCGATGTGCGTTATAAATCATGTTTTTATTTGTTCTTAAATTAATAAATAATATTAAGTAGCCCTATAATTTATTATTTATTTTCAAGATTTTCTTGGCGGTCTGCTAACGTTTTTTCTCAAACAGGGCCCGAACCTCTCCTTTATAGTTGAAGTTGATATGAGGTCGTTTAACATCATTCATACATGTGTATGATTTTATTATTTAATTTATTTGGCCAACAATGTGACCTAAATATACATATTTAAATAAACGTCTTATAAATCGATAAACACCGGTTGAATTAAAAAAAAAAATACATGACTCATTGTCACGTTCCGTCTGAGCCGAGCATTATTACAACTACAATTGCAGCAAAAAAGGTAAATAATTCTTGCATTTTAAGAATTTGATTAGCGATATAATCTCATGTATTTTTTCTTTGATTATTATTATTTGATATTCAATCATTAAAGTATGCAATTTTTCATAACCTTTTTTTATGACGTTATCACGTAAAATTATGGTCCGTAAACCAACTTTACAGACAATCAAATTTTTGTAATCAATTAAATTACGTTATAGCGAATTTTTAAATTAACATTTACAATAAATGATGTTTTATTTATTATAAGTAGGTGATGATTGTTATAACAACTTGATCATGCTATTATTCCTCTTGCCGACGAAGCTTGCTACAGGACAACCTGAGTCAAAAATGCCTTTTTCATATAATTTTATTTATTTATAAGTAATCTTATAATGCTATACATATCCATATAAAAGAACTAAAACTAAAACAGATTACATTGAGAAACAAATAATATAAAACAGAAAACATTAATAGATGAAAACTGAAATTAAACATTAAAGAAACGACAACTCAATATTTTAAAGAAAAGGCTAAATTATTACTGACAAAATGTTTCCACTTCTTAAAATATTTCCTCACATCCTCTTTGGTAAGGTAAGCGAAAACCCGAAACATTGGCGAATTACGCAGATAATTCGTATTCGTAGGCACATGGAATTGTAAATATATTATCGCATAATTTAGTCATAAGAAAAATAATCAACAATAAATAGCTAAGAAGTTTATTATCCATAGTTACATCAGGAATGTGCTAATGACTTCCTAAGGAAATTCGCTTGGGGCAGCCATTTTGAAATTATTATTTCTAACGTAAATTGCTGTCATTTCATTTAAGTAAAATTTTATACGGTAAGACTCATTTCTCTGCGTAAACAAGTTATGATACATAATTTATTAGGAACATTATTTATGTAATCCTTCACACATTAAGCATTTCACAACTCCGCATCTGCTTAAAGGAATGAGAATTGTTCATCTTTCTGTGACGCGTCGTCTAAAGTGCTTTGAAACTGCGAATCTGAACCCTGAGGTCGTAGGATTGATGTTCTGTGCACACACATTCTGTCTACGTGCGCAACTAACACTCGCTAATGTGGTAGTGGAAAAGATCGAGAGGAAACCAGCATGACTTACACCGAAAAAGTTATTTACCTACTTTCTCACGACGACGACTCATTGGTCTAGTGGTTAGTATCCCTGACTGCGAATCCATGGGTCCCGGGTTCGATCCCCGGCTGAGACGAACATCGATGTGATGAGCATTTGGTGTTGTGCTTAGGTCTTGGGTGTTTAAATATGTATTTATATGTCTATCTATCTATAATATGTATGTATATCCGTTGCCTAGTACCCATAACACAAGCTTCACCAGCTTAGCATGGGACTCGAGCAATTGGTGTGAATTGTCTTTAAAAAAAAGAAAAAAGAAAAAATACTATACTGAAATATAAGACCAAGACCAAGGGTTGTAGTGTAATTGTTTTTGAAGTTGTACTTCTTTAGGCGCGTTATGAAAAATTGATGAGAGTGAAATTTTACGATTGCGCGCGCACCTATGACACAAAATTGGCAGTGTGATATAGCGTGCGCGAGCGAGATGGGAATAAGACAAACTACAAGTAAAGAAATAGAATATGCGTGAAGCTAACTTCACGCATATTCTAGCTTAGCAGCTTAACAAGAATTTTGAATGACCATGACAATTGACATCTGACAATGACATTTACCTTTTAAACAAATATAGGAGTTTTAATTATTGTTTAAAATTAATAATTATATACCTAGTTATTTTCATTATACAAAATATTTGTGAAATAATATAAAATATTTGTGAAAAACTGTGCTAACCTTCCAGTGCTTCAATACAATTGAGGTTAACTATCCGTATGTATTATCGAGTATTATTGTTGATTAAAACTGAAACATGAACCATTATTCATTGCTTTTGTTTATTGCGTTTGTTACAGCAACTTTTTAGAAATATTCTACGACCCTATATATCAATAATTGAGAACAAAGATTTAAGCACGAATACTAATAAGGAGAAAATGAAGGCTTGGAGCGATATAACAGAGAAGTAAACATTTTAATAAGTACCTGCATCTCAAAAAAATGACCGCATTATTTAATCAAAACATCAGATTTAATCTAGCAAATATAAGGACAAGAGACAAAAAACAATTGATGAATCAGTGGAAGTGCACTAAATTGAATACAAAAAAAGAGTTGTCATCTTATCGCCGTGAAACATCAAAAACTGGAGGTGGAACAAAGCCACCATCACCTTCTCGAGACACAATGGTTTGAAGTAGATTTCAATGAATTTGATTGTGATGGTGTCGAGGTAGGAATGTTAATTATAAATATGATGTATGGTGATGTTCAAGGTTCAACCTTTCAAGCATAGGCATATGCTTACAACATTACTTTATTCCCCTACAGGGTAGTTAGAGATATTGTAATACCTCAAAACATCCATGTTGCACTTGTAGTACCGAAACTCTGTCCTGCCAGAAGTGAGCCCATTCCCACTTATAATGGACAGTGGGTATAATACACCTTAATACCTGAGTGCGAACCACTCACCATGATACTTAAATTAATAGATGTTATTTATATATTTCAGGTTATTACAAATAAAATCATTTTGGAAACAATTGATATCCCAAAAGCAAATAAAGCCAACAATGACAAGGTAATAAATCAGTTTTGACATAACTTGAATACTAAAAAGCCAAACAAAGGTGTGCACAACAGTGACAACATAACTTAACAATTTCATTATTTTGTAGGATTAAAGAAAGGTTAAAGAAAATCATGTCGAACTGAACAACAAGAATCCCCAAACAACTCCAAAGAAACCTACAAGGAAAACACCGGTATTATATTTAAATTATCTCTATCTCTAAATAGAATAAAAGAATTGCTATCCAGGTCTGTAGCATGTGCTACAAATTATATTATTAACACATTTATATAATTATATTAATATAAATGTGTTAAAAAATTTATAATATGAATTATAAAAAATTTTAAGTTTTGCATGGACAGAGCTTAAATTAATATTCTCTTATTTGTTGCAGAAAGCAAGTAGTTTTGGAGAAGCCTCGTAGATGCACAACCAAGTAATGATTAATTTAAAATTACAAACCGAAATTCTGATGAAGACATTAGAGTCACTTAAAAATAAATAGTATAATGAAATAAAAATGTTTTAAAGATAAATAGTGTTTTATTTGTTTAATGTAAGAGAATAATAATAAATATTTATTTAATTAATTTTTCAAATGTAAACTGAACTTTATTGACTTTAATGACTCCTTTTCCAGTCTTTGATTATTTAATTGTAATTAATTATTTGCATGCAATCAAAAACTATTTTTAATAATGCCAAAGAAGTATACCTTCTTACGCGCGTACATAAGTACACGCACCCTTTTTTTTATGATAACATCGGTTAAATAACAAATAAAACGTCAAAAAACATTAAGCACAGTAGTATTTTACAGGTGTTTTTCTAAAAAAATATACGCCTTTAAATTACGAGTATCATTTTGAATTTAGAATCCCGACGTGAAAGAGGACTAGTCTCTAAGCTGTGCAGACATAAAGCACTTAGAAGTTAAGTTGAATATAGTAAGCGTAGAACTTAAGCTAGCTATAAAGCCTAGCTTAGTTCCAGTGTAACTTCATAATAGGAATATATAAATGTATTCTATTGTGTCTTTAAGCAGGCGTTAAGTCTAGTATTATAAATGCATTGTGGGTACGATAAGTCTGCGTTATTTATTTATAATTCAATTAGTTGTTTGACTAACAAAGTTGTCAAGTCAAGTCAAGTAAAATCATTTATTTTAATTAGACCACCTAAAATGGCACTTTTGAAGGTCAAATAAAATATAAAGATGATTCTAGTTGCCCCTTCCAAAAGGTAGTTGCGTGTGAGAAGAATGGCCAAAAAACTCCACACTTACTCTTTTAAAATAGGTTCACAATATTTTGTTTACATTAGTTAAATAATTATTTATGTGACGACAATGTACTCCTAGAATAAAACTACTATACTAAAAAAAGTATTAATGAAGTAAGTTAGTATACATGTTCCTCACATATTTACAAATATCGAAACCGTAGAATATTATACATTAAAGAGTAATAAAAAAAACACAATAAAACAGTGTGTGAGATAAAAATAAAATAATTACATTTTGTTGTATTATAAAATATAATAAAGTTGTAATGTTTATAAAAATTAGTAATATAAGCATTGACCCCCGGTCTTAAGTTCAATTCGAGGTCGGAAATAATCTGAAGATTTTTTTCAGTTAGGTATTTTGTGCCTATTTAGCAATTAATTACTTCATACAGTTTCATTAATTCTTAACAAAATTTTGTAATAAAACATAAATCCTTTTTAGTTAAAATATGTTTATTTAGAAAAATATAACAATTAAATGACTTTGAAGTTTTGAACTATATATTCAAGGGCAGAGCAAAAAATAATTTTAATAATTTTGTGATAAAAATGGGCTGTGATCCTCCATATGAGGTTCCAAAGTGTGATAAATTTTGCAGCATAAAAGGCATACCACAATTAGAGGAGCTCGAAAAGGCATTGGCTAAGAAAGGCCTGAAGGATCCGTGGATAAGGTAAGCAATCCAAAAAAGGTTTTGGCCACTGCGTTATGTTAACTTGCCTCAAATGTTAACAAGAAAACGGATTGACACGTCTTCTCCCTGTACCACAGAACTTCAAACAGTGAGAAGAGAGTTTGCTTTGATTTTAAATCTACGGAAGTGATATAAAAAGCTACTAGCATTAAGAGGTGTTTAAAATATAAAACGATTTATACGGTTATATATCGGTTCAAAGTTACTTTATTTCTCAAAGACTTACATTCGTTAGTGAGAAAATTTGGAGTAGGTTAGTTATGTACATCGTGTTATGAAATTATTTGATACTGATATAGTTTATTAATTTTTTTTTTAATGATTGGACAATTCACACCAATTGACCTAGTCCCATGCTAAGCTGGTGAAGCTTGTGTTATGCGTACTAGGCAACGGATATACATACATATTATAGATAGATAGACATAGAAATACATATTTAAACACCCAAGACCTAACTAAGCACAACACCAAATGCTCATCACATCGATGTTTGTCTCAGCCGGGGATCGAACCCGGGACCCATGGATTCGCAGTCAGGGATACTAACCACTAGACCAATGAGCCGTTGCTAACAATATGTACAACATTTTTTACAAAAGTGAAGGTAGATCGTTAGTAATAATTTCTTAGACGCTCGTTCACACATAAATAAATGCTAGAAGTGACTTTTTGTGATGTTTTGTAAATACATATATTAATTTATATTGAACTTTTACGATTTTTATAGACGTGTTTTTCTTGTTATTTTATAGGTATATTGTTAGTTATAATAATATGTTCTGTTAAATGTTTTTATTAATTATACTAAATTTAAAAAAAACATATATTTCTAACACATTTTATTATTTCTATTGTTAATAGGAATGAGATATGGAGATATCAACCCGCCTTCGGTACTAAAATGCAAAAAGTCTGGAATTTGTTTTTCCGAGGCCTTCCGCTAGGATTAGCACTGACTATAGCCACAGTGGCTCTTGAGAAGACTCTCGGTGGTGATGGACATGGAGGACACGGAGAGCATAAGAAAGAACATTAGTTTTAATCAAATTTCTCAATTTAAGAGTTTTGTTACTACAATGTATGTCCTCTCCTTGATCTTTAAATGTTGGTTCTAGCTATATATTTATATAGCTAGCTTATATATACCTTCAACGTTAACCTGCTGTGTTTTTTTTGACGCGTGAGTAATTTCTAGAAAGCAAACCAATGTTCTTCATCATATTTTTTTTTTGCTTTCCGCACGATTCTTCATACAAAAAATTGCTTATTCAAGCCAAGTAAAAGTCAATCATTTGTTCATATAGGTAACACAATGTAAACTTATGAACGTCAAAAAAGAAATATACATTAAATGCTTCTAATGTTACATTTACTGCCACTTCTCAAATCAAGGGCGTAGAACGAAAGAGTAAACAATTTGATGACAATACTTGGCGATTAAAAAGAGTGGCGGAAAGTTTCTTGCCAGTTCTTCTTACCCGCTCTACGCCCTTGACTTGCGAACTGGTAGTAAATGTAAATTTACAATTAATTTAACTTCTTTCTGACAATTCATAAGTGTACTTGTTTACCTACATGAATAAAGATATTTTGATTTTGAGTTTTGTGATGAACTGGCAATAAACTCTCCGCCACATTTTGTTTTACAATTGATGATGATGATTATGATGATAATTGATAATAAAATCAATTAGACACAACGTTAACGTTGAGAATTCCACGTTTAACCTCTAGGCTAAACTAGACAAACGTTTGGCCGCAATCCAACCGAAAATTGAGATGAGGAATATTGGAGAGCACGCCTGTCCAAGAGGTGCCTAAATTTATATTGACGTAATAATAGATAAACATTGGGGGTTGCAGAGTCCCGACCTAAAACGTCACGCAAATTATTACTTTTGATAATAGCCATTCATTCGTAACCAGAAATATGTAATGAAACCAGCAAATTTTATTCAAATTGATACAATCGCGAAATTTCATCAATCACGAACAAAGCGATGTAGATGTGCCGTCTCAAACTCAATCGTATTCTTTGAAGCGTAGAATTGACAATTGAGTATTGACTTAATAAAGACTGACTCCATTCAAGCAGACCTCACAATCCAATGTAAGGTTCGCTTAAATCACAGCGTACTTAAGCGGTACTTCAGAACTGGCGCTAGTACTGGAATTGTAGACGGTGTTAAATCTTATGTAGTATGTATTTAGCGAACAATCAAAACTATTGACAAGTTTGTGGTAAGTTAAAACAAAAAAAAACTTAGTAATACTAACAGTAACAAGCCCTAAAGTCTATCACATCATTTTTTAAGGGCTTGCTCGATCTACAGGCTTACTGCAGGCTTGTATTTGTTTAAGGTTAGTAAAATATTTATACCAGTGTCGCTACAATCGAGGTCTGGCCTCGGAAGACCTCTTAAAAGACCTCTGAATCTGTTTCATGATCACATGTCAATCTAATAGACTAATTGGTTTTCAACCTCCTGTGTCTAGACTTTTGGGTCTAAGGCAAGCCGGAACAGTGGACAGAAAATCCATTATTGCTACAGCTGGGGTTTGAACCTACTACCTCAAGGATGAGAGTCGCATGAAGAAGCCTAGTGGACAACACTGCTCTTAAAAAATGGTAAAGATAGGTAGATATATATTATATATATATCGTGGAGGTTTATATGAAATGGATTTCTTTGCACTTGTATCTATAATTACGAAGCAAAGCAACACGATTTAATTACACGAAGGAAAGTAATCTGTACATAACTTAGAATTATTCTATACTTTATGCATTTTTTATTACGTATAAAACGCATTTGTTTAAATGAAAGAATTCGGGTTTTGTTAAATATGTATAAATGTATTTTTATATTCGTTTAGCTATTAAATCAAAACATTTGAGCGGACTTGTCCTAGACACTGGCGTATTGTAAAGAGCACTTTAAAGACAGCCATCACACAAAAACACAATTGAACGCTTTGTTTCTCTCCGCTTTCTCAGTTAAACAGAAGCTTATTATAATTTCATTGGATTTTGCTTCTGAAAGGTTTGTATTGTCTGTATAATTCATATGTCAATTGTCATAACCTCAATAGAATAATATTAACTTATATTCTGATTTACTTTTTTGATTCCGTCGTTGCGGGTATAAGTGTTTACACGTGTTTCGGATATCATTATTTAGTATTTTCTATTTTTTCTCGTAGTTTAATGAATATAAGTCGACTTATCCTATTGGTGGTGGTTAATTAATAACATCAACTAATTACGTAAGTTATTTTTATTTATTTGTTATATTTCTCCCTTTACCTTGTTATATTTTTGGTAGTCTATAATGGAGAAACGCCCTCCAGACCCCCCTGATCCTCCGGATAGGGTCTCTTCTCCGGTGGAATCAATGGATTTATCCACCCCACTGTTTCCCCAACCTGGTGTCAAGCGCAGACTCGATACTGTCAATGAATCTTTAGTGGAACCTTCCAAAAAACCAATGACTGATGCCCGGTCATCTGCTGATGACGTCAACCCGGGATTTTACTCCCATCCGTCTCTCACTGGCTCTCCCAAGTCATACCTTGTCAATGACAAGGGCCCTTTTTTAGTCCATGTTTCTTGCCCTGAATCTGACCCATCCGCCGGTACATCAATCCGCCCAATTAAATTTGGTCACTTCTTGGTAAAAAATAAAGTAAGTAACATTGTTCGTGATGGTGTTAAAAGAGTGGGACGTAACAGAATATCTGTTGAGTTTAAGTCGGGTTTAGATGCTAATAATTTTGTGTCTAATCCCATTATACCTTCCAGCAATTATTCTGTTACGATTCCTAATTACAATGTTTCCCGTATGGGTCTTGTGAGAGGTGTCCCAGCTGATTGGTCGATGCAAGAATTTGTCGAAACATTGGAAATTCCTGAAGGTATTGGTATAGTCCTCAAGGCCAGACGCCTTAACCGCAAGACAAACTCCGATGGTCAAATTAATTGGATCCCAACACAAACCGTTGTTCTAACTTTTCAAGGTCAAACCCTTCCGGAGAGAATATTCTCTTGTCATAGTTCCCTCCGCGTTGAAACGTACCAACTCCCTACAATTCAGTGCCTTAACTGTTGTAGGTTTGGTCACGTAAAGTCACAATGCCGATCGAAGCCTAGGTGTTTTCGTTGTAGTCTAGCCCATTCTGGTGATGAGTGTAATATCCCTGAAACAGAGTCATTATGTTTATTTTGTACTGCCTCACACTTTGCGACCAACAAAGCTTGCCCTGAACATAATCGACAAAAAAATATAAAGAGTTGTATGTCTCAAGAGAGCATTTCTTATCTCGAAGCATCGGCTCGGTTTAGACCTATCAGTGGCAAAACTTTTGCAGATTCTGTAAAAACAACCCCCTCCTCTTTATCCCAGCCCATTACTTTACCTTCCCAAGTTTCCCGTCAGACTACATCTTACAGGAAAACTGTATTTCTCCCTCCTCGCTCTAGACCAACATCAGGAAAATCCTTTGATAAGGCGGCCCATGAGGCCATTACTTCCAATTTACCCTCCTCTTTACCCAATGGTTGTGCCGTAAGCTCCTCTTCCCTTATCAACAATGAAGTCTCCCCAAATGAAAATCTTCTTGACTGCTTATGGGCAGTCATTTGTAATATGCTATCCAAGTATGATGACATCCCCATACCGTCCCACGTTGCCCAAAAAATTAATTTGCTCCACTCATTCGTCACCAAAAATGGCGAATCTGGTAATTCAGTGGAACTGTAACAGTATCCGCAGTAAAAAATCAGAATTAACCTTTCTTATCAATAAATTCGCTCCATCTATTCTAGCCATTTCGGAGACTTGGTTATTGCCGGGTTCCCGCTTTAGGGTTTCTGGGTACCGGTGTCTCCGAGATGACAGGGATGATGGCTATGCTGGCTGTGCCTTTTTGGTCAGCCGATCCCTCACCTTCCACGCATTATCTCTTCCTCATTGTGATGGTATTAATGCTGTTGCTATGAGAGCTTTTAATATCTCGTTTATTTCTGTTTATATTCCCCACCCCCATTTCGACCTCATTTCTGATATACGTTCTATTATCCTTTCGGTTCCTCCTCCTGTTGTCATGTTGGGTGATTTCAATGCCCACCATGTTTCTTGGGGTTGTCATTCCTCAGAATCTTTTGGGTCCCTTCTACTAGATTTACTCGATGATATAAACATAAGTGTCTTGAATAATGGTTGTCCTACGAGAAGGAGTCTTCCATCTCAGAATCCCGCTAACGCAGTGGATTTATCACTTTGTTCTCCTGATCTTTTCCCTTTTCTATCCTGGCGTGTTTTTAAGAGCACTTGTGGGAGTGACCACTTCCCCATTTTAATTGATCTCCCAACCAATTTAAGGAGCGTTACTCGCCCTTCCCCTCTTTTAAAATTTAAACTGAATCAGGCCAATTGGTCAGACTTTTCATCTTCTATTGACTCTAAGATAGCTGCGCTCCCCGCAGTCTCTGCTGAAAACTGCCTATCTTCATACAATGATTTTGTCAACTCCCTCACCTCATCTGCCAGTTTACATATTCCACTCAAATCTTCTACACAAAGGAAAATTTCTCCTCCTTGGTGGGATTCCGAATGTACTGAGATGATTCGAAAAAGAAAAACGACAGAAAGGTCATACAGTCTTTGCATGACCTTGGAAAATTTTTTAGTCTACCAACAAGCTTCTGCAGCTGCTCGCAGACTTCTAAATAATAAGAAACGTCTTGGTTGGCATAAGTTCTGTGAGAGCATGTGCCCTGGTACCCCTTCGTCTGTTGTTTGGAGGCAGATCAGAAGATTCCGTTGTTCCCTCAATTCTTATGATGTCCCATTTAATGATCCGTCTAGCTGGATTACCTCCTTTGCCGACAAATTGGCTCCTCCATCAGTCCCTTTTATGATTGTCTTCCTTATAAGTATAATTCTTACATCCCCTCTTCAAACAGTCTAGATTGTCAATTCTCCTTGGAAGAACTTAACAAAGCATTAAATGGTCTCTCTGACTCTTCCCCTGGAG